GGATGGGGCCAGACCCTGTACTCAGGGAGCTGGCAAGTGGGGCCAGGGAGTCAGGAGGCACCCAGGTCCAAGTCCCAGCACGGCTCCTTCCTTGTCTGCGTGACTTTGGGCCGGTGGCTTCAGTGCTCAGTGCCTCAGTCTCTCCCTCTGGGCAGTGGGCACAGCAGTTGTTCCCATTTCGTAGAGTTGACAGTTCAGTACGCGCTCCGCCTCGCTCCCTGTCTGTCTCCCCCACACCGTGGCCTTCTGGCTCAGCCCCCAGCATCCACCCAGGACACCACGGCACGGAGAGGGAAGTCAGGAGACCCAGGGCTCAGACTCACTCGTCACTTTGCTGGGGACTTTCTACTCCCTGGACTTAGTTTACCCGAAGTCTTCCCAGGGGTCCTTACCTTCCTGCCCTCACCACCTCCACTTTCCCTATTGTTCACTCTGCCCCAGCCTCACCGGCCTCCTCGCTGTTCTCCCCAAACATCAGGCATGGTCCTGCCTCAGGACCTTTGCATGTACTGTGTTCTCCACCTGCAAAGCTCCTACCGTGGAGTGTCATCTTTTAGGTCTTTGTTCAAGTGTCCTCTCCTATGAGAGACCCTCGCTGACCCCCCCCCCAGCTGAAAAAAAACAACCCCCTGCCCCCTCCTCAAACTCCTTTAAATTTCTCCAGAGCATTTTGTTCAACCTGGCATTTTATTCCATGTTTATTAGCTTGTTTAATATCCATCCCTGCCCACGTCAGGATCTGGGTGAGGGCTGAGCGGAGGACACTGCTGGGTCCCCAGCATCATGCATGGAGCTGACACAAAGTACATACTCAGTAAATGTTTGTTGAACAACCAAATGAATCTCTCCTTCATTGGATAAGAGCTGTTCATAAGCTATGATGTTCTGAGCTTGAGGGGAGGAACCACTCTAGGTTAGGAACACTTACTCTGGCACCAGATGGGCCTGCGTTCGAATATGAGCTCTGCTGTTTGACATTGAACCTGGAGGAGGGGACATTGGAACCAGGGCTTTGAAGGGTGCATAGGGGTTTGGGATAAAAGCTTAGGGATGGATAAGAGATTCTCAGTAATGTTTGTTGAATCACTGAGTGAATGAAGGAGAGAGAATCCTTCGTGGAAAACTTTTGGTTTGGGAATTGGAGTTTCACGTCCTGGTTTGCTGCCCTGGACTGTCAGGATGGGAGGGCTACAGGGAGGCCCAGAGTGGGGCACAATCCAGTGCACAGTTGACCAGTCCATAGTGCCCAGCAGGGGCTTGGACCTCCCAGCTGCTGCTGTCCTCTTTGGCCAGGAAGTCCCAGCAGGGAGAGCAGGAAAGGCTGCCTGAAGGAAAGAACAGTGAAGACAGGGTTTTGAGGGATGTGTAGGAGTTCAGGAGGATTCTTGGCATCTAACTTGCCTTGGCCAAGTGGGGTTTCTGGGAAAGGCCTGGTCTTGCTGCCTCCCCTCCCCTTGCAGCTCTGATTACCAGGGCAATGGATAAGCTCCCCCACCAACCCCCAAAAGGGTGCAATGTCCTTTTCTGCCCTTTGTACAGAATGAGAAACAGGCCCATGGTGGAACAGTGATTTGTTCCTGGATCATACAGAAGGTGAAAATGGAGGCTGTTGTCACCCAAGCTCATTCCCTCAACAAGTCTGCCTGGCAGTGAGTGCCTCAGCCCTGGGCCTCAGGGTTGGGGGAGAGCAACTGAGCTGGATTCAGAGACCCCAAGTTGTGTGGGCCAGGCTGGGTCTGGGAGAACCCTGAGGAGAGCAGGAAAGGCTGCCTGAAGGAAGGAACACTGGAGAGAGGGCCTTGAGGGATGTCTAGGAGTTCGGGAGGATTCTTGGCATCTAGCTTGCCTTGGCTGTCTCCCTTGCCCTGTCAGCCAGTGAGGGCATATTGGGAAGTGCTTGGGGAAGAGGCATTGGTTGTCACAGGTCTTATGGGACAAAGAGAGTGACAGGCCTGCCTCTCACCTGGGTTGACCTCCCCAAGAGGATGTGGGAGGCTAGGGCAGCAGGTCCATGACCCAGTTACAGGCTGTTTGTCTTCCTCCAGGACCAGCTGGGGTCACCAGTGACGTGGGCTCCCGCCCCTGCCCGCCTCCTTGGCATCCTTCCCCAGAGAGGGCCCGGGGAGGAGGGGGTAGGGATAAGGCAGGGGCACTGGGGCTTGGAGAGGGGAGGAGCCAGAAGAGGAGAGGAGCTCAGAAAAGGGGGAGGGGGCTCAGAGACAAAGGGGTTCAAGGGGATGAAGAGTCTGGGCCCAAAACAATCGTAACAACAACATCAATAATGATAATAGCGTAATGCAGGCTTTTGAGAGCCGGGCAGATAATGGGGTTCATATGCTAGGAAAAGGTGGCGTCCCGTTCAAGAAGGCCTGCTGGCTGACACTCCAGCTGCCCCTTCCCAGCTACCTCTTATTACCGCCCCAATAAGCTCCAGGCCTCGGATGGCATCCACAGCCATTGCCCAGGCCTCCTGCCACCCTGGCCTCCCCTCCACAAGGGACAGTGTCCTGTGCCTCCATCGATTTCCCACCCCAGCTTCTCTGGCCAGACGACCTGGGCTCTGGTCCCGGCTCTGCTGACCGGCTGTGTGACCCTGGGCGAATCGCTCCCCACCCCTGGGGCTGGCATGTCAAGTGACATGGTGACACAGAAAAAGCACCTCTGAGGTTGGATAGGACCTGACAGGGGACTGGCCCCCTCTATCCTCCCTCTGCCTCAGCAGGTCAGCTGGGGTGGGGACGGGATGGGGGAGTGGCGGAAAAGGGCCCCGAGGTCTGGTCCCCACCACAGCTGTTACTGTGACTCACACGTTGGGGGCCGGTGGCATGGGGGAGCTGGGCTGGCACAAACGGAGCCCCGTTCTTCCCCACCCCGCGAGGGCAGGAGGCTATTTTCAGAGCCTCAGTAATAGAGGAGATCTGAGGTCATCCCCCAGCCCCAGCACCCCGTGGCCAGAGGTGGCCCAGGGGAAATGGAGCTCAGGGCAGGGAGGGGCGCTGGGTGGGCGGTACCGTGTGCATCCAGGCCTGGAGGTGGGAGCAAGCCTGCCACATCCATTTAGAAAAACCAATTCGTGGCCCAGAGCAGCGGTTTCCCTGTCTCCCCGAGAGACCCCGGCCTCACGGAGAGCAGGCTGCTCTGAGAAAGGGGCCGATGGGGTCCTGGGTTCTTGTCCTTACGCTGACTCTGAGACCCTCCAGGACCTTGGCCAGGTCTCTGCCCCTCTCTTAGCTTAGCTTCTCCATCACACAAAGTGTAGTGGAGCCTCGGGCCTTTTCCTGCCCCAGGGAGATTGTAAGCAACGGAAATAATCTTTACAGCAACAACAATGTCAATAATAATAATAATAATAATAGCATAACAGGCTTTTGAGAGCTGGGCGGATAATGAGATTCACATGCTAGGAAAAGACATCACTCCCATTCAAGAAGCCCAGCACGGCCCCCAGGCAAGAGCGGGGAGGGGGGACCGAAGTTTCTCTTCTCTGTCTTCTTTTCTCCTTGAATTTCTCATCCCTTGAGGCTGAGAAACCAGGTCCTGGATGTTATGCAGACTCAGTTTCCCTTGCTGAAAAATGGCGAGAATGAGACAGCCCCCTCCCACCCCTGTAGAAGGGGATGGGGGCCTCCCATGGCCCCACGTTATTCTCTGAGGGGCCAGATGGCGGCTGCCGTTGTTTTCGTGGGGAAGTCAGATGGATGTGGGTTCCGGTCTGAGCTCTGCCCCTCATGATTGGGTCCCCTCTTGGGGTCTGTTTCTTCATCCATAAAATGGGTGTTGTGGCCACCCAGCAGCACCATTCAGGCAGAGGGAGGGGGATGTTGAAGTCACAGCTCTGGCCAGGTCGCTGAGCCTCCCAGGCCTCGGTTTTTCCATCTGTGGAATAGGTCTATGGGGGACAGGGTAGGGTGAACTGGCCCCCAGGGGCCTCTCTCTCCAGCTCTAAACCTCCATGGCTGAGCTCCCCTTTCTCTGGTGCATTCTGCTCTCTTGCCTCCTTGGGCCTCAGCTTTCCCTACCCCTATAATGGATCTATGCAGGAACCACCCCCTCTATGCAGGAACCGCGCCCCCCGGCCCTTCCATCAGCCCCTGACATCCAGGTGGCCCATCTTGGCCTGTGGACCTCAGCCAGTCCTGCCTGTACATCTGGGCTGTAGGAATGACGTCTTGTCCTCATTTTTTTCATCACTGCCAAGAGCCGGTTGAGGCAGCCCTTGGACCCCTGTCTGGTGTCAGCTTCCTCTGCTGAGCAGTAGGTCTGACAGACAAGCCCCAAATGACCCTTTGAGCCTGGTTGCTCCTGGAATCGTGAGCATCCAGTGTGTGCTCAGCCCTGCTCTGGACATTTGAGCTCACACTCTAGTTCAGTGGTTTGCAAACTATAGTCACAGGGCCCAGTGCCCACCGTCTGTCTTTATAAATAAAGTTTTATTGGAACACTGCCATGCCCATCCCTTACATCTCCTCTGTGGCCAGTCCTGCACTACAGTGCAGAGTGGAGCAGTTGAAACAGACACGAAAATACTCACTATCCGGTTCTTTATGGTACTTTTAAAGTTTGCTGACCACAGTTCTAGAAGGCAGAGAATGGATCTGTGCCACCAGCATTCCACCATCCTCAGTTTTCCCCATCTGTACAAAGGGTCCCCATCAGCCTCCACCTGGGACCCCCAGCTTGTCCTGTCTGTACATTGGGGTTCAAGACGGTCCTCTGTGAACGGCTGCCTTCATCTGTGCCTCCCACGTGGTCCAAGCCTCAGTTTCCCCATCTGGGCAATGGGTTCTCAAACGACCCAGTGAACCTCTGCTGGGTCCCCTCCTCTGGCCTCCACTTTTTTCCCCAGGACGTGGAGGGATCTGCAGCAGCCCCCTGCACACCTCTGCCTGGCCCTCCTTCTAGCGGGTCTGCCTGGGGCCCCTAGGCCTCATTCTTACGGGCGGGGCAGTGGGTCCACGGCCCCCAGCGCTTCCTGACCTCTGGTCTTTACCGCCCCGCAGGATGAGTTCCACCCGTTCATCGAGGCGCTGTTGCCTCACGTGCGCGCCTTCGCCTACACCTGGTTCAACCTGCAGGCGCGGAAGCGCAAGTACTTCAAGAAGCACGAGAAGCGGATGTCGAAGGACGAGGAGCGCGCGGTGAAGGACGAGCTGCTGGGCGAGAAGGCCGAGGTCAAGCAGAAATGGGCGTCGCGGCTGCTGGCCAAGCTGCGCAAGGACATCCGGCCCGAGTGCCGCGAGGACTTCGTGCTGGCCATCACCGGCAAGAAGGCGCCGGGCTGCGTGCTCTCCAACCCCGACCAGAAGGGCAAGATGCGTCGCATCGACTGCCTGCGCCAGGCCGACAAGGTGTGGCGGCTGGACCTGGTCATGGTCATCCTCTTCAAGGGCATCCCGCTGGAGAGCACCGACGGCGAGCGCCTGGTCAAGGCGGCGCAGTGCGGCCACCCGGTGCTCTGCGTGCAGCCGCACCACATCGGCGTGGCAGTCAAGGAGCTCGACCTCTACCTGGCCTACTTCGTGCGCGAGCGAGGTGAGGCGGGGCTTGCGCGTGCACGCAGATCTGGAGGCCGAAAGGGGGTGCGTTGGAAGGTCGTCGAGGGGGGGAGGTGGGCGCACGCAAAGGTAGGAGCCAGGAGGCGGGCCTTAAAGCCTGAGGGCGGGGACAGTTGCAGTGGGAGGATCTGAGCCCTGTGAAGGGCCAAGGGGAAGAGGTATGGTTCAGGGAGAGTCTGGGGTCAGGGGCAGGTGCGTCCTGGGGCTGTGAAGGTAGAGGCAGGCCCTGACCTTGGGGGGGGTCAGGGGTCCAAGGGGGGTGTCAGGTGTCAGGAGGTGAGACCCTGTCCCAAGAGGTCTGTTGGCAACAGGGGTGAGGATAGGCCAGTGACGGACGCGCGGGGGACAATCTTATCCCTCCTGGGAAAGCTGGAGGAGAGCTGGGGTTGCACTTTGTGACTGATGGTCGATCGACTCTCGGACTTCCCCCAGAGACCTGACAGGTTCCATATTTCGGCCGAGTGGGAAGCTGGGGCGCTGTGTGACTTTGGCTAGGTCACCAGTCTCTCTGGTCTCCAGCGGCCCCCACTCTGGCCCTTCGAGCTGGGTGTTTGCTGGCTCTGTGGTCAGATGGCCCACATGGAGACTAGCAGGGTTTGCGAGGACGGGGAAATCCACGGCAGCTTCCCAGAGGAGGGGGCTCCACTGAGCTGAGCTCTGCAGAACGACTGGGCAGTGATGAGAGTGGGGATATCCCAGGAGGTCAGCCGCCTAAACAGAGATGTGGAGGTCAAGGGCAGGCCCTGGCTGGGAGGGCAGTGGGGTCTGTTGCCCCACTGTTCCTGGTGGTGTGGCCAGTGGAGCCGTCAAATGGAGGGTATCAGCATCCTTACCTGGATTGGGCCTGGGGAGACTCGCCGAGATCGTGTGTGTGTGTGTGTGTGTGTGTGTGTGTGTAGCGCGTTGGACTCTGGCCTGCCACGTGGCGGGTGGCAGCCGTGACTGTCTTCATGCGGATGGAATCAGGTGTGCCCGGAGTCCCTAACAGGCACATGTCCCATGCCCCACCGTGCCCACCCAGGCTGGTACACACGTGGGTGCGAGCCCGGACACACCCGGAGCTGCCTGAACGTGTCAGGTGGGTGCACTCAGGTTGCAAACCCAGCCCTAAGCCCCCGTAGACCCCACGGGAGCCCGTGTGATCACAACCAGAAATGATGGCGGAAGGCTGGGGGAGGGGTGGTGAGAAGAGAGCGAACTCCGGGGCTGGACTGCCCAGATTCCGAACGCAGCCCTGCCATATGGTGTGCTGGCTGTGTGACTTTGCCTCAGGCCCTGTCCTCTGCCTCAGTTTCCTCCTCTGTACGGTGGGGGTAACAACCATGCCAACTCTTAGCGATGCTGTGAGGATTCCATGAGGTCTCCTGGTCTCCACTGTGTGTGGGAGGGAGAGCTGGGGCAGATTTTCCCAGTCTTGACCTTGACCCCATCTGCCCCTCCCCCGCCCCCACCAATTAGCACTAAACGCAGGGGGCCAGAGGCAGAGGGGAAGACTAGGTGACTGTTTGCTGCGAGCCGGATTGGGGGTGTGGGCAGGGGCAGCCTTGGGGGCTGCAGTGCCCATTACCATGCAGGTCCTGGCCTCTCTCACCACATCCATCCTCCTCCTCCACGCTGAGCTGATAAAATTTTGAAGCGAGTTTTCTGCCAGCGTCAGCACAATCTCCGGGCGCCTCCCCTCCCCCATCGGCCCCCTCCCCCCTCAGCTCAGCAGGCAGACCAGGCCTCCGGGCCTCCCCAGACACCTTCGCGTCCGACTGCCATGCCTTTGCTGGCCGGTCTGGTCAGCATCCTCACGTGAGGGCCGGGGAAGGTCAAGGCTGCTGCGCCCTCCCGTGCAGGCTCCATCATCCCAGGAGACCACTGCTGCTCAGACAGGCCCCAGCTGACCCAGCTTCAGCTGGCTGGGAGTGAGGGTCGGGCGTGAGGGCCGGGCCAGGAACCCACTCCCAGCTCAGCTGCCTGCCTAAGGGCCGGGTGATCCTAAACAAGTCACTTAATCTCTCTGTGCCTGCTTTCTTTGATTTTAAAATGGGATGCTCAAAAATAGCTGGCCGGTAGGAATGTTGTGTTCTCGTGGTAAGCGTTCAACAAATAACCCCCATGCTGTCCTGAACACAGGTACCAGGCACAGGGCTAGGGCTTTGTGGACCGTTGTTATCAACGTTATCATCCTCATTAGGATTATGATTTCCCACCTCCATGCCTTTGCCCATGCTGTTCCCTCTGTTTGGAATGCCTTTCCCATCTGGAAGACTCCTACTTATGCTTCAGAACCCCAACTCCCAGCTCCACTTTCTCTCCATCAGGCATTTTTTCTGAGGATTTAGCAATTCTTTTCCATTCTCATGGCAACCTTGCAAGGCAGGGATCATTGTACCCATTTTACAGATGAGGAAACCAAAACCCAAAGAAGATAACTGCCCGGCGCAAGGTCACACAGCTAGGAAAGGGCAGAGTTAGGGTTTGGACGTGGGCGGGTTCTGTTGCTGACACCCCTGCTAGCCTTCTACGCTCGGTGGCAGAAGGGGATGGAAGTAAATCACAGTGTAGGATGTGGGTATCCAGTCATCGTGGCTGGACCACCTCCGGGCTGGGTCTGTGTTCTAGGCTCCTACCAGCTAGGGCCTCCTCCGGGGTTCCCAGGCCGAGGCTGGCCCCCAGAACCCCCTGTTGAGCTTCAGCTCCCCAGCTTCCACCGCAGGACCCCTGTCTTCATCTGGGCCAGAGTTATGTCTCTCTTCTCAGCCAGGTAGTCATCTGACCTCAGAGACAACTGGTCACCTTCCTCCTCTCACCTGGTGGGTCCCAGGGCTGCAGGGGGTCCAGGCCAAGGCCAGAGTGCGGTGTCCACTCAAATCAGCCCTGCTAGGAGGCCATGGGATTGATGGGGAGTGGGGGAAATGGGCCTCAGTTGGCTTCTGGGGGCGGGTGTCACAGGGTGGATGGTGGGACAGGCACCCGCCATTCGGCTGAAAAGGAGGTACCACCTCTAGCGTCAGAAGCGGGGCCTTGCAGCTGAGAGAATGACAGTGAGAGAGAGAGACAGAGAGACCCAGAGACATGGGGAGACACAGAGAGACCCACAGACGCATCATACACTCAGCCCTTCCCTGTCCCAAGACAAGGGGACAAAGTCCAGCTCCCCCCACGGCCTCCGTCCTTATCTCTCCCAGGGGGTGTCAGGCAGACTGCTGGAGCCGCACCCCAAAGGGGAATCCCAGGCCTCCATCCTTGGGTTTATTTTGGAGGAGAGAAGGGTGGGGACGAGCCGTGAGGAGGTCCCTTTAGCGCTGGGGCTGCCAGGCTGATCAGAGCCCAGGGCACTGCCTGGGGCCGAACTTGGCAGCTTCAGGCATCCATCCGGCACCGTTGTGGACACAGGGGCCTGATTCCAGGGGTGGACTCCGTGTGTGCCCTGGGGGTGGGCTAGGGGACAGCTGGGGGGCCATGATGAGGGGGAGACGTGAGCTCCACCTTGGGACATTGGGGCTGCCCGCTCAGTGCGTGCACTTTAGGGGGAGGGATGTGTGCAGTTAAGCAGGGCATGGGCAACCTGACAATTCCCAGTTAAATTAATACAAACCTAATGACAGGGAGGGGTGTGGAGAGGGAGGGCAGGGCAGGCCCTCTGGCCAGGGAGGGCCTGAAAGAAGTGAGGGAGCTGCAGAGGGATGTGAGTGAGAGTGTGCGGGGCAGTGGGGGGGGGCACAGTCAGTGCAAAGGCCCTGGGGCTGGAATGGCCCAGAGCACAGGTGCTAGTTGGGGAGGTGAGGCCCTGTGCCTGGTGTTGGGGAGGCCGGGAGCGGGTGAGCCGGCTCTCCTCTCTCCTGCCTCCCATTTGAGAAGGAGTCTGGAGAAAGCAGGGCCCAGAGAGGGAAGCCGCCTGCCCAGCCCCGAAGCCCAGCCAGGCCTCCCCGCCCCCTCTGGCGGCCTGAGAAACCTGAGGCGCGGGCGGGCACCGTGCCAGGGCGGGAGGGGGAGGGGCTGCCAGGCCCGCCCGCTCCGGCAGCTGCCAGCCCGCCCCGAGCCCCGCCAGCCCAGATGGTGCCCATCTGCTGACGCTGCCGTGGGCTGGCCTCCCGTTCCCGCCTCCTGTTCCCGCCTTGTTCGGTGCCAACCTCCCGGAAGGGCGCTGTGGGCAGGGGCTGGCTTGGGAAGCTTGCAGCTGCTAGAGGAGCTGCCCAGGGTGCCCAGGGAGGGGTCAGGAGGAACTGGGGGCAGGGGTCCCCGTCGCCTCCTGGGTGGACCTGGGAAACAATAATAACAACAGAGATAATAGTAACAGCAAGAACATCGTGTGCCCGGTGCTGAGCCCATCCTACATCTGGTTTCATTCTCTCCACCACTCTGGGAAGGAGGGACTATTACCTTCTCCCCTGTTTCAGATAAGGAAACAGTCCCAGAGATGGTCAGCGACTTGCCCAAGGTCACACAGCTCCTAAGAGGTAGGGCGAAATTAGAACCCACAGATCCTGACTCCTTGAAACCATTAAAGGAAAAAACCTAAAAACCGCTTTTGAGGTTATCAGATGGAACCCACACCTTCCTAGTTGTACAGATCATGAAAAGAGCTGGCCCGGAATACACAGTGAACAAATTAATGAATATCAGTGAACGTTCCCGAAGTGCCTACCGTGCCCAAGGCTGGGGGCTGGGGTCTCCATAAAGCACACCCTGGGCTCGGATGGCAGGAGAAAGGGCCTGGAGCAAGGGGGCCTGGATCAGTCTCAGCTCTGCTCCTGGCTTGCTGTGTGACTTAGGGCAGAGCTCTGCCCTCTCTGGTCTGGGGTTGGAGGAGAGCTGAGGCCAGGAAGGTAAGGCCTTGTGGGGCCACAGAGAGAAACAAGCCAGACCCTGACTGAGGGTCCTGCCGTCTCCTCCAACCCTTGTTAATCTTCATCCCAACACTGGCCGTGTGCTGGGGAGACAGAGGGCGGATGTGGACAGGAGGGCGTGTAAGGGCACCCATTGGCT